TAATGCAAATAAAATTCTTTAAAGGTACTATCCAGGTCAATTCTACTGTTACTTTGTAGTGCCACCATGAATGAACTCTAGCACAATCCTGTTTGCTGGTGTGATGCTTTTCCTCATTGTGTAAAATTTGATAAATGAGTAACTAAAAGACCAGTGTTGTGAAATGGAATATTTAGGAATGCTTTTTGAAGATATACTTCCTTGGAAGAGCCATATAGAGGTAAAATTCTTTCAGTTTCTAGACATTTGGAAACCATATCAAAATATTTGCACAAAAGATGGTTTTTGATCCTAGTTTAAAACTGCCATTGATCCTAGTTTAAAACTGCCAGGTATGGTAAAAGCCCAGACTTTGTACAGGACAGAAGCTGGACAATTCTCAAATTATAAAATTGGAAACTTTACAGGAGACCTTCATGGAAAAGTTGTTAGTTCTGCTCCTTGGAACTCCATCAACTCCGATTCCTGCAGAAACAGGATGACAAGAGAACTTCCTTCAATTGTGGCACACATCCATAATGCCAGATTTCCAGCATTTATTTCGCCAAACTGTGTTACACAATTGAAAGGACTAGCTCTCTAAATTTGTGGGCAGTGCAATCAAATGCGGCTGCCCGTAACACCCCCAGTCTCCAGCTCCAACCTCAGAGCCGCAGCTCAGAGCTGAAAAAAGTGTGCCAGCTACAACAGGAGGAGGAGAGTGCTTGGCGTTTGAGGTCCCAGCTGCAACCCTCCAGCATGTTTCTGAGGTCAGAGTCAGGACGCTCACATCTCCTATGGCTGGCTAGACACTCTCTACTGCACTCTAAATTAGGTGGATTGAATTCCGTTTCTTGGCAATCTTTGGTCATTCCTTCTGTAGCTGCTAAATTAAGACACAGAATTTTAAGAAGCAAAGTCTGTGGGCTGATAGAACAATTCAACATTCAAAATTTTTTAGATGGCCATCAAGGCCCACCCCCTGCTGTTGCAGGACACCAGGTTACACCATCCCGCTCAGATGGCTGTCCAATTTCTTTTTCAGTGTCTCTAGTGTGGGAGGTCGTAGGGCTTTTTCTGTCAAAACCTGCATAGCTTGCATACGAAGCCATTTTGGGGGCTAACATGGTTTGCAGGAGTGCTTGCAAGGATGGAACAAGAGCTAAAGAGTCAAAACTATGTTTTTAAAGATGAGTAGGTCTCAAAGGAGCAGTGCGGCTCATCTACAGTTCACCCAGAGCTTGATAGGAAAATGCTTCTCAGTCATCTCTCTGCACCCTCCCTCTGTGAGTCCAGCTCTTACATCAAGACTAGGAAATCTGACAGTCAAAGGTAAGAAAGCAATGCCTTCCTCCAGCGGCTGCTACCCAAAGCAGTTTTGCTATAGTGCAAGTCAGGTCAACATGAACTGTTTAAAGAGAACTGAGAAGAGAGATACTGTTTGAGATCTCCATAACTCTGTCTAAATGCTAAATGTGATTGCAAAAAAAAAATTAAAATGTTACTGGTGGCCATTTTAAATTAATTAATTAATTCCATTTCTATGCTACCCAATAGCCAAAGTTTTCTGCGAAGTTAAAAATGTACTATAAAAAACTTATACATGCAAACATGAACATACAACAAAGAGGGAAAAACACACCCATATGCGCACTTAAAAATGATCAAGAGAAAATAAAGAGATGTGAGTAAAACCCTCATTCTATTCATTTCCACTTCCATTTCTATGCTGCTCCATAACCTGAAGGTTCTCTGTGTGGCTTACAGTGATAAAACATAAAAAACATAGGTACAATACAATACATAACAGGAGATAACTGTGCCAGCAGCAGGTGAGCTTCACTGGGGAGATCATTCCATAACTGGCGCCCAGTACTGAGAAGTCCTTTTCCCTTGTTGTCGTCTTCCAAACAACCTCTGCGGAGGCACTTAGAGAAGGTCTGAGATAATGTAATGCATGAGCAATGTAATCATGATGAATGTAATGCATGAGCAAATCTATACCAGGAAAGGCACGGCTCCAGGTATTGCCATCCTGACCTATGCCAGGCTTTGTAAGTCAAAACCAGCACCTTCAATCAGGCTTGGAAAAATACAGGCAGGGCAGGGCAACAGGCCAGAATTGGTGCTGTATGTTCAGATCCCCTGGTCTTTGTTATCTATCTGGCTGCTGTATTTTGTAGAAATAGCCACTTCTGCCCCAAGGCAGCCCCACACAGAGTGCATTGCAGTCGTCTAGTCTGGAGGTTATCAAAGCATACACAACTGAAGCCAGCTTATCCCTGCCCAGATAAGAGCCAACCAAAGTGAGCATCAAGTGACAAAGGAAATTTCATGAGATCCACTAAGCTATGAATGGGCTTTTTCAGGGAGAGTGTAATCCTTTGCAGAACAGGCTGAGCACCTGATATTCAGTCAGAAGAACCACCCACTAGCAATATCCCAATCTTGTCTAGATTGTGTTTCAATTTATTAGCACTCATTCTGTTGTCTATTGTCACAGTTAGGCTTGCTTTCAGCATAAAATATATTGAAAATGCAAAGGAGAAATAGAACTGCATGTTACAAGTACTGATGCCAGTGAACTCCAAGATTCTGGATGACCCCACTCAACAGTTTCATATTCATGTTAAATAACACGAGACAAGACTGATTGCTGTAGAACCTCTTACTGAAGAATCAATGTGGCCAAGCAATATTCCCCAAGCAAGACCTTCAGGAGCTGTCCATCCTACTAGAAGTGAAACCACTGCGGTGGCACTTCAGACAATCATCCCGAAAGGCTACCATGATTAATCATATTGTGAAATTTGCCAGATCAGGCAGAATCAACAAGAACACAACCCTCCTGGCTCTACCAACATAGTTCATCATACAGGGCAACCAAGGCCATTTCTGTGCCAAAGCCTGGCTGAAACCTCATCAGTCCCATCAAAGATTTTCTGGTGCTGACTGGCCACCATCTCCTCAGGACCTTGTACAGGAAAAGAGCATTTGCCACTAGCCTAAAACGATTAAGATTTTTCACTGTCAGGGAAAGTTGCTTCAGGAATTATCCCTCTCACAAGGATACATCAATTGCCTTCCTGGTCCAGCTGGCTAGTCCATCCCTCCCAGATATAACCAGCCTAGAGGGCAAGGATCCAAAGCAGTAAAGTTTGCATGAAGCTGTCCAAGCAAGTTCTTGCCAGCATCTTCAAGCTGTAGCAACTGATATCACCCACGAAAAGCGGACTGAGTACCTCACCTGTTTCATCTGCTACAGCATTGGAGGCTAAGTCCTGGCAAATGTAAGAAGTGTTGTTCCTGGAAGTGCCCAGCAGGCTTCAGATGGATTTATAGCAACCTTCTGGCCAGCTTTTAGTAGGTCCCAGATGTTCCTGAAAATCTCCCCTGAGTGGCACACAGAGGATTCAACAGAAGCAGCAAGGCGTTCCTTGCCGCCCTCACTGCCCCCGAATGCACATGGCCAAAGGCTCACCCCACTGATCAATTGCATCCACATCCAGCACATGCCATTCACCATCTGCGCTCAAGCCGTCTCCTATTCTGTCTCACTGCTCTCAGCTCAGAGGACAGGGCAGGATAAGTCCTACTCTGAAGAAGGCACTCTTGGAGCTTCTGGATCGGACCACAGGAAAACCAGGGTTTAGGCAGCAGAGCAAGCCATATCAGGCAGAAACCTCCCCAAAGCCTTGTGGACACCATGCACGCTCCTTAGCCTGCAGGGGCAGACCATCTTAGCACCTTCCCCCACCTTTGCAGAGAGGAAAAGCTATCAAAATAGTATTTGTTATACTGAACTAAAAATATCATTGATGCCCCCCCCCCCGCATTTAAAATAAAGAAACCAAATTCACTTTCTTCATTTACAATCCCACACTATGGTTACTCATAACTTTTCCAAGCATTCTCAAACCCTCGGGAGACCCTTCTGTATAGCTAGAGGAGCCCAAAGCGGGTGGGAAAACTGCTGCAGGATCAGCATTCCCATTGGATATGCTCTGAGCACCCTTACTTAGAAGAAAATTTTCAATTCAAAATTTCTTTTAAGCAACTTAAATAGGATTGTTTCGGAGAAAGAGAGAAAGCATTTCAAAACTGAACATTCAAAACACTTAGGGCTGCAATTATACATCTTTGCAAGTCCCATTGAACGTAGTAAGACTTACCTCTGATGTAGGCTGTGAATTGCCTACATCAAAGCAAGCCGTACCTTCACTTAAAACAAAGTTATTGTGAATTACGGTTTTAAAATATTTATTTATTTATTTATTTATTTATTTATTTATTTATTTATTAAAACATTTTTATGCCGCCCCATTCGCCGAAGCCTCGGGGCGGCTTACAACATAGATAAAACAATAAGTTAAAATATCCATATAAAATAATCTTAATTAAAACACACATTATAAAATAAGCCGCCCTGGCCAGATAAAATTCAATTGTATTTAGCATTTAAAATGTTGCTTAAATAAAAAGGTCTTAGCCTGGCGCCGAAAAACAAATAACGACGGCGCCAGGCGGACCTCTCTGGGGAGCGCATTCCATAACTTAGGCGCCACCGCTGAGAAAGCCCTTCTCCGAGTAGCCACCCTCCTAATTTCTCTCACGGAGGGCTCCCGGAGGAGGGCCTCTCCCGCCGATCTCAGGGGGCGACTGGGCAAATATGGATGTAAGCGCTCCTTCAGGTAACCAGGACCCAAATATGCTGATGCCTATAACTGTGATAGCTACAGAATTCTGTTTTGTTAGTTTAATTTATATTAATTTCATTCTAACTAGTTAAAAGTTAAGACGCCGTGCAGGAAAAATCAAGCGACACAAGCGATAACTATTTTCTGCCAGAACTTCAGTAAGAACCGGTTTCAGGAACTAAAAGTACCCAAGATGCACCGTTCCATTGCCAGTAAAGGGGAATTACTTCAATGGCGCCTTAAATAAACGTCATTGAAGTCGTTGCCTTTTACTGGCAGCAGTCGCAGCGGCGAAGCAAGCTGGTTAGTTCCTTTCTAAACGCGGAAGAGTTTCATTCAAGGCGCGTACAGCGCCTAAGTGCGAGGCAGCTATGCGTGCGCGTACATGGTGGCTTGCACAAGTGCACCTTCAAATCCCGCAAATGTTGACGACTGTGTGAAAAGCCGTGAAGAGCCTCGTAACTCCCGCCTCCCCTGCTCTTCATACGAGCCAGGAGTTCCCTTTTCCTGTCACGCGTTGATTTTTGCAGACCTGCCTCTGAGCAACAATGGCAAGCGAGAGCAGTGAAACGCGGACCGCGGCAGAGGGGGGACCCCCCAAACTGCAGTTTGTTCCCTTCAGCAGTGCCTTGGATGCGGGCTTTTGGCATGAGCTGACCCAGAAGAAACTCAATGAGTACAAGCTTGACGAGACGCCAAAAGCGATCAGAGGATATTATTATAATGGTACGTACGTAGTAAACATCTCGCCTTTGCGGAGTGGGGGGGGGGTGTTTCAACAATTTTGTTTCTTTGCGGTTAGAGAGCCCTGACTTGTACTTACGTAAAGCAGACTGAGAGTCAGTTCTGATGATCGTGAAATCCTCTGAAATAGGATTGCTAAATTAAGAGCCCGGTTCGATAGTAAGTAAGGCTGAACTAATTACACTTCGGTATATGAAACCCTCCTGTAGGTTTACTAGGAAGTACCTTGAGGGTATTCTGCACACATACGTGGGAGTAAGCGGCATCAAATGTTGTGGGGTGTTCAATTCTTTTTTTTTCTTCCAAGTTCAGACTGGTAACTCTGCTCTAGAGGCAACCATGGGAATGGCCCATCCACTGAGAAATGATGCTTCAAATTGTAACAGGGTCTGAGTTTGTGTAATCCATTCACTTTTGCATGATTAGATTCTGAAGGAGTCCGATAGGGCAAAAAAAGAACCCAGAGAGCCAGTAGTGAAATATTTCTTTTAGAGCAGTTAGGCACGAAGTGAATAGTTAACCATGCCTTGCTTCTGAATATCCTCCCACCCTGAACAGTTTAGTGATAAACTTTATGGAAGGTGGCTTACATTATGAAGTTTACAAATTATAAGCTTGGAAGGTATATTACCAGAAGCAATAAATTAAAGTTTATCTCAGTCATTCTCCAGCCCATCACTTTTTTTGGAAGCTGAGGAGCTTGCAGATAAAAGAAGGAGGTGGATGCCAATCAGAAATGTCTTTTCTGTTCTTGGCTGTTTTCTCCTGCCTTGAGCAGCTTATGTGCTGTTATGGCCTGTGCTGTTTGGCATGTGCCCAAGAACCACTACCCCAAAAAGACACCCTGTGTCTTTGACACCCTCTTCATAAAAATGACTCTGCTATCTCTACCTTCCTTCTTTGTAATAGTGTGTGAGGGGTGGAATGAGAATGTTCCTTGTGTCACGCACAAAGGGGAAATAGCGGTTTTAAAATTAGATATAGTACTTCATGCTATGAAACGGTCAACCAGTTATGAAACCACCATGTGTGGAAAGAACATCTGGATGGCCTAGCTGTTCCACAGTCGTATGAGACTGTGGGGAGCCATGTCATAGTGGGAAGAACACATTTTATACGGAGAAAGTGCCAAGTGCAATCCCCACCCTGTATGGGTACGGCTGGAAGAACCAGTATCTGAAATCCTGGGGAAAATCTGGTCTGTGACTGTGTTCTGATAACATGCTAATCCACACTTGAACTAACCATGGTTTGTTGCCAGGCTCTGAACTGCGGGTTGCTTATGGTTTGTTAGCTTGATTGGGTTCAAACAACAGTAGTAACCAATGTTTCAACAACAAGCCACAGTTCAACAACAAGCCACATTCAACCTATACTTAACCCTTGAGTGTGAGTTATCATGTTATAATGATGATACTAGTCAGTATTAATGATACTAAGCTTAAATGGATCAGTGGTTTGACTTGGAATAAGGAGGCTTCCTCCCAGAGCTATATTATATAGTTAAATATATTATTGCTTTGTTCTCAATTTCTTTTTCTCCTTTTTCTAGGAGATCCTGCTGGCATGCCTGCTCGTTTAACACTAGAGTTTAGTGCTTTTGATCTGTAAGTAACTTAAGAGGTTTAGAAGCCTTCTTAAGCAAGCTAGCTGGGCGCAGCTATGTAGGCCCAATGTGATATTTTCCTTCAGTGCTGAAGGAGAACTAGCCTGCTTAACTAATGTACAGACCACATAATATGCAGCTGTGTGCCAAATACAGCACAAAGTATATGCTGGCTGTTTATTATCCGAAGGAGCACCTGCTCCTCTGCAACATACCTATTCTTTAGGATTTTTGCCCTGGCTGTTTTCTGTCAGAGATCTGTGAGGGAGAAGGTTTCCCCATAGCAGCACAATAGCGATGGGGTGTCTTCCTCAAAGAGTTTTGTGCACCAGCACTGGTGTCATTCGGGCACCAGCAAAATATCTTTTTATAACCAGGCATTTCAACAGCTTTTGGTGATTCAAGACTTGAGCACATTTTATGTAAATTCTTGTGTTTTCTTTCCTGAGCTTTGTTTATTTTATATTTGTTTTATGCTCTATATAGCCCTGACATCTGATATGATGAAGGGTGGTATAAACAGTTCAAGTAGTAGATCGTCTGGGTTCACATGTAGATTATCATGGTATCAGCAGAGTTAAAGCACACAGTTCAATCCTGCTAATCCAGGATTTGTGAGCAATCCTGGTTTACCATTCTGTACAACATATGTGACACAATCATTGTGGCTGCTTCACCACTGCCTCCCACAAGTTTGGTGCGGGAAAATTAAATGCTTCACTGGGGAAAATCAGTGTCCAGAGTTGGTTATAAACTACTGACATTGTTTTAGTGCTAGTTCAGGAATACTACCTTAAGCGATCAAAAGTTGTGATTGTTCCTGGAGTGCTGTCTGTGAAGGTGAGAGCAGGATCTAATTTGTAAAAAGAACAGTTCTAGTGCTCCAGTGCTCACACTTGCATTGCTCTGCCTTGGAAGAAAGCTCTGTTCTTTAATGCTGAGAGTATGAAATTAAGCTGAAGTTATTTCTTGGACTTGGATAAAAGTACTATGTATGGCTGTAGGTCTGTATTCAATTATATCTTGGCACTAGTGGAGGACACTTCTGTTCAGAAGAAAGAGCCCAGATATTCAGATATCTTTGCAACTGACAGCAGTCCTCTGTGCACTCAAAAAGCTACTCGGAGGATTCATGGATTCTCCAGGCTACTCTCTGGGGAGGATGCATTATATAGGGAGGACTGGTGAAAATTAAATATCCTGCCTTGCACAAGCATAGCTGCCTCCCATGGGGTAAAGCCACCTCTGGATATAACCTTCAGATGTACTTGTCTTTATTCAGATCTAGTTCTTCAAAGGAGGCATTTGGCCCAAGAGAGAACTGCTACTAAACTACCTACAATTTTCTGTACCGAAAATTGTAACAGAGGCTGTTCTAATGGATAACAGAATTATATCAGTAGTATTTGCAGCAGATTACCCCAGTGGATGGAGGGAATGCTCCTACGGCCCCTAAACAGCATCCACTGTGGGGATCACATGCATCGGATAGCTCAGCTTCCAAGCACCACAGCCTGAGACAGCTCAGCAGCCTGAGGGTGGGGAATCGGAGTGCCCAGCTCCCCCACCTCTCCAGCGGTGTGAAAAGAAGCAGGCTGGCCATTCCCTGAGGTTAGGAAAGCAACCGGAGAAAGCAGTAAAAAGGGTTTTTCAGAGAGAGGGCAAGGAAAGAGACTAGGCTGGCCCGGATACAAGCTATCCTGTAGCCACCCCAGCCCCCCCTCCCCCCCAGAATGACATCAGTAGGTGGCTAATAATGGACATTGTGGGGAGATGTGGGAGGAGGGAAAGCAAAGGTCCCCCCTGCTGCGTCTCACTCGGCAGTGAATGAGTATGAGCTCTGTCCCTGCTCATCTCCACTGGATTGTGCTTAGACAGAAATAAGTTTTATGGCTTCTAGCCAGGCATACTTCCAGGAAGATGGTGGGAGGCATGGGGCTTATTTTGGTGTAAATGTGTGCAAGGTTGCACCCTAAGTATCCCCTCCCTGTGGTGTCAAAATGGTAGTTATTTCAAATATTGTGGGATGACCATTAATATCCATTGTATGGCAGGTCATGAAAAGTTTGAAAATTAGCTTTTGGCTCTTGATTGGAAAAAACTTACACACTTTACTTTTAGAGTATGTTTTAACTATTCAGAGAATGAAGTATGCAATAATCGTTTGTAGAGGGAAGTAAAGGGCCAGTTTGGGTGAGGATGTTTGGTGACATCAAGAACTAGGAGATCAAGTTTAGCAAGTGGAGTGAAGCCTGGAGGGGTGAAGAATCCAAAGGACAGACATCAAAAGCATGATGCTAGAAGACTAGGACAGACTAGGCAATGGGCAGACCAGGCACTGGGCTGAAAAATTCAACTGCAAGCTAGGGAGTGGAGAAGCTAAATGAGGGATGGAGCCTGGAAGAAGTGGATAAATGCCGGAGAGAGACTGAGGGCACACAGCTAGGCTGACTTCCTGTCTAAAAATGCACAGGATTGCACCCAAGTATGAACAAGCAGCAAAGCAAAAAACAGTGAGGAGGGAGAGAAAAATGCTTGACCATCAGTATAAGTATGACATGAATGTGGAGTTCTAGAATAATAATAAATCTCTTGATTTTGTGACTTCTGGCAGAGTAACGTAACCACTTAATGGTTTAGCTTGTGAGTCTGTTATTGTTGACAAAACACAAGCAGCTTTGAAACATGTCTTTCACATGTAGTTTTTAGAGTCCCGTCCCTTCTGTGGAAAGGAGACACACTTGTGAAAGAGGGCTAAGGGCCTGTTCCTTTGTTTGATATACTTTGTCACAGCAGGTGGTTGTTCTCCAAACCTGAATAGAATCATAGAATTAGTGGAAGGGGCCAGAAGGCCATTGCATCCAAATCCCTACTCAGTTCTGAACTCCCAGTTAAACCATCCCTGTCAGATGTCTGTCCAGTTGCATCTTGAATGCCTCCAGTGTGGGAGAGCCCACCACCTCCCTAGGTCACTGGTTCCGTTGTTGTACTGCTCTGACAGTCAGGAAATATTTCTGATCACATGATCCCTAGCCTGAATCTGGCTTTCTGTAGCTTGAGCCTGTTGTTCTGTGTCCTGCACTCTGGGATGATGGAGAAGATCCTGCCCTTCCTCTCCGTGACAGCCTTTCAAGTACTTGTAGAGTGTTACCCTATCTCCAGTCTTCTCAAGGCTAAACATGGCCAGTTCTTTCCATCTCTCCTCACGGGGCTTTGTTTCCACTCCATGGATCATCTTTGTTGCCATACTCTGAGCCCCTTCCAACTTGTCTGCATCTTTCTTAAACTTTGGTGCCCAGAACTGCACACAGTACTCCAGATGAGGCCTGACAGTGCTAAGTAAAAGCAGACTAGTATTTCATGGGATTTGGAAGTTATACGTCTATTCATGCAGCCTAAAATGTCATTTATTTTTTTGCAGTCACATCACATAATACTGGTTTTAGTTAGAGTGATATACGTTTTGCTTCTAGTTGGGATAAGCTTTATGCAGCTTCCTCCTGTTCTGCTGTGGCTGTCTAATCCCAAATCTATTCTTTTGCCCTGGACAGCTGAGACCTTGCAAAGAAATGTTAGATGTGCTCAAACTGGGCTGCTTTCTGAACTAGGAATTACATAATCTACATAGATAGAGTTGTATCACTGATTAAAATATCTGGCTTGTCATCATTTATTTTTGCATTTGGGGGCGGGGAGTGAAAGATGTGCAGAAACTTCCCAGCCATTCTGGTTTGTTACGCTATAACCAGCAGCGGCGTGCGGTTGCAAGAGTGCTTGTCTCCTCCCCAGGAATGCCCCAACGCCAGCACGTTGCTGCCCTGCACTTGGAACATTGCATAACACTAATACCTTGGAAGCATTCAAATCCTGTGACAAGAAGCTGCTGCTTGAGCAAGCAGCAAATGAGGTAAGAGAAGAACATGCATAGATTTCCATAAATCCAGAGCTTAGACGTTTGTTTGTTTATTTATTTAAAACATTTATGTGCCGTCCTTTATGACAATCATCTCAGGACAGCTTACAATGTTAAAATCAATAAAACAATACAATAATATATAACCAATAAAATAAATCAAGGCAACTATAAAACTATCAAAATTACTAAGTTTTAAAATGACATTTAAATAAAATGGTTTTAACCTGACGCCGAAAAGAATATGGGGTTGGTGCCAGGTGAACCTCTCTGGGGAGCGCATTCCACAGTCTGGGCACCACCGCAGAGAAGGCCCTACTCCGCGTAGACATCCTCTTTACCTCCTTCAGGGAGGGTTCGTGGAGCAGGGCCTCTCCCGCAGATCTTAAGGGGCGTGAGGGCATATAAGGAAGGAGATGTTCCTTCAGGTATCCTGGTCCCAAGCCGTTGCAGGATCACAACTGCAAGCCAGATTACAAATGGCCTTTCCAAATAGTTTATGACGTTAGTGATGTCATCCCAGTCTGGCTTGCAGTTGTGATCCTGGTTTGAGAAGCCATTTACATTGCCATCTTGTACATACTTCCTTTGAGGCCCCTCTGAGTTCAGCAAAACTTACTTCCATGTGAATGTACCTAGGAGACCACTATTTGGTTTCATCAGCTTACTTCAGGAGATGAAGATTTCAGGTACAATCTTATGGATGTTTGGACAAGAAAAACTACAACTCCCATCATGTCTCTGTCATCAGTGTTGGTTTGGGTATGCTGGGAATTATAGGATCTGTTTCTGTCTGAGCATGCATAGGCTTGTTTCCTCAGAGGCTGATGGGCATCTAGTGCAGGGCAAGTTTTGCCCTTCTGCTCCTCCCTCCCTGCACTTCAGCCAGATGGCCAGCTTTGGGCAACTGGCCAGGGCCTGCTAGAGAAGCAAGGAAGGAGACAGTGCTGTTTTCGGCATACCTGGTATCTTGCTTGCTCCAGGCTCCTTCCCTCCCTGCCCCACAGTGCCCCCTTTACCTCCTGATGTGGTTCTTTCCATGCTTGCTGCAAAGGTGGGGGGAGGAGATCAGCCCTGTGATGTGCCAGAAAGCCCTGTGTTGCACAATATTGCTTCGGAGGGCCCATCTCAACTGCTTTCCAAAGAACAGGCCGATAAGGAGGCCGATGTGAGAAATCTCAAAACCAATGGTGTGCGTTGGTTTTATCTTGCTTTTTGCTGAAGCCTGCTGTCTGAAGGGTAAACTGCAGTGTGTCACCCTAGATGAATATGCACACATACATGTATTTATGTAATGGTTTAATCTGATAGACATAGTGTCACCATGCATTTCACAAAGAAGCACATTGTTAACAGTTCTACCCATTATTTCCGGGAAAACAAATCCATTTAAGCGTGTTTATGTTAAGTATTTAATTGTAATAGAGTTTATCTCTGGTAAATAAGCTGGTTGGGGTCTTTCTGAAGTCATCCTGAATGTTGTAATGTTGCGCTGTGAGATGCAGTGGAAATTCTGGAATAAAGGCTTGGCTCTTCCAGCGGTTTAAACTTGAGCTGCACGTGTACCTTTTATGGTGGTAGGGCTTGGAGGAGAAGAGTGGGACTTGGCCATGAAAGTCATCGGGTGGCTTTGGCCAGGTTGCCAACTCTCAGCCTAACCTATCTCACAGGGTTGTACAGATAAAATGGAGAGGAGGAGGAAGACCATGCAAGCTGCTTTGTGTTGGAGAAAAAAGGCAGGATATAAATGTAATAAATACAACAGTGAATGAGAAGCACTTGGAACACTTGAGATGCTATAGCAATGTGGAGTAGTTGTTGTTTAGTCACAAAGTCGTGCCCGACCCATCGCGACCCCATGGACTACATTCCTCAGGCTCTCCTGCCCTCCACCGCCCCCCAGAGTCCACCTGAGCCCACACCCACGTGCTCCAGTGACCCCATCCAGCCGCCTCATCCTCTGCCGTCCCCTTCTCCTTTTGCCACAATTGTCCCCAGCATCAGGGTGTGGAGTAGTAATACGTTTAATAGTATGATGTGATGTTCAAGGCTATGACTCCTATACAGTGTCATTTTTGATACACCAATCGTATAACAGGAGAGAGAATTGTTATGCCAATTACAATGCGGCTGCAGCAGTTCTTCCAGGTTTCTGCCCAGGAAGAGAATCAGGTGCCTCCGTTATTGACCCTTTTTTACTGCCCATCTTCCTGTGCAGAGAATTCTCAATGCAAAATAGTTGTTTTGGGAGCATGATGCAACAGGGAACTGCAATCTCCCGATATTTACTTCTTTAAAATGTTTATATGCCACTGCATATAAATATAACCATTTTCTCAGGAAGCTTACAGCAGAGGTTGAAAGCCTGTTGAAATACTTGCAACAAAGCCATAAAATGTATAAGAACAGCGTATGCTAAGCTTGTTGCTAGAACCCAGCTTGAGATAGTAATTTCTCCCCTTTTGCACTTAGATATGGAACGCAATAACATCGGGGGATGCAATGGAAAATCCTGTCTTACTGAACCGATTTCTCCTGTTGACGTTTGCAGTGAGTATATGGTGATGAATGCTTTGTGTTTAAACACTGAACAACTCACTTTGATGTGCTGCGCCACTCAGTGCAGACTAGCTGATGGGTCATAAATCTAACAGTTCTAGATACAAATCTCAGTCTCACTCTAGTCACTTAGGAAAGGCACTTTCCTTGGCTTGTAAAATAGCACCGTGCCCATCTGGGTTCTTCTGTAAACAAATGTGCCCATACTCTTTTTTCATGCTAATGATAGTACAAAAATTCAAATCCTGTGGGGTGGTAGGGAGCATGTGTGAGACAGGAAAACACATAAAAGGACTGGCATTTGGGTGGCCAAGGAGGATTCTGCTGAAATTCTGCTGAAGCAGCTGGACTGACCCAGAGCAGAGGAGGTGGAACAAGGCGCAGACTAAACCTCTCTTCTGTCTGAATGAGCTGCTGTTGAAATGGTCCAGGTAGGGCTTATACCACCTTCTATATTCTCTAAGTGGCCAATATTAATAGTAATAATTGAATCAAAACCATCCTTTCTAAACTGATTGGTGTTTGTTTATTTGCAGATAAACTGTTTTTGTATTGTTAAAAAAGTGTTGCAATGTATTTATATTAATTTTTCCCTTAGGATTTAAAGAGATACCGCTTCTATTACTGGTTTTGTTACCCTGCATTGTGCCTTCCAGAAGGCATCCCTTTGATTCAGCAACCTGTTTGCCTAAGTGCAAAGTTCTCTTCAGTTCAGGTATTTGTAAAAAAATAAATATTGATTCTGCATAACCACTGGCTGTGGCACTTTATAGAGTTTCGTAACTTGTATGCACTTGCTTGAAACCTCCGTGTCTTCCTTAAAGACCTTTTCCATCATGTCTCTGGCAGAAGCACAGCTTGTAGGGACAAGAAAGATCTGAGCTGTGCAGTAGTTTCTCAAGACGGGTTTGTCCAATGTTTGCTTCATCTGCTTTTGAATAGGCTCTTTTCAGTCTGTCTTTTTTAATGTAATACTGTTGATGTGATTTTTAAATAATGACTTAGGATGTGGTTGTACAGCTGTTTCCCTTGGATGTTGTGATTTTAGGTTTTATTCTAAGTAGCTTTGAGGTTGATTTATCATATAAATGTGAGATATAAACATAAGGAAAAGGGTAGGCTCCTGCCTCTGAGGAGCACCCAGTCTAAATTAGATTGATGCACAATGTTCCCAAATGCCATTTTGACCCCAGTCTGCCAAATCCATTTGCATGTGGGGCTACCATGCATGCAGAATGACGTCTCCCCTCTGCTATATAGGGATTGATTCTCTGTGCATGAGGTTGATCCTGATACTTAAGACTTGCCATCACAGGAGCGTCACACATCAACAACGCTGGGGCAGTTCTCGCAGGGAACAATCCTGTTGCCTCTGGGAAGCATCTGTGAGGCTATAGGGCAGTGCAGGTTCCCAGCACTTCTCTGAGCTGGAAAGCAGTGCTCTGAGCCCCAGCCCAGGACCCCCTTTGTGGCCAATGCAGAAGGACTCCTGCTGCCTCCCCAGAGACACGCCAGTGGCTGCCTGGGGCGCGCCCCTCGCACCACCAACCTTTGGCTCCATCAGCATCAGCTAATGAGGGGAATGACCTGGCATCTTATTATTTGCTTCACTGCCACCTTTTGTCTCTTTGCCCTGAGACGGTACTCGAAGATGCATGTGTTCCTCCCCTTAGTTACACACTTGTGCAGCGAGTGTTAACACTAAAGCAAAATAAGTTTATTTCTACAGATAGAAACAAAACATACACTCCAGTCTTAAATCAGTCACTGTATATCAAGTTATCCCAGGCTGAAGTAACTTTTTCACCGGATCCTGAGTGGGTCTCCAGATGTTTCTGCTTTCTACCCCCAACCCAGAAAGAACCTGAGCATACCCCTGGCTAACTTTCTGAGCAATGTGATCAGCTCTGGATCCTCTGGGAGGCAGAAGCGGAATCAAAAGGAAATCAAACTCCTGTGCCTTTAATGCTTGTGTAGAAGAATGCATTTTGATGAGTTCAGTTTATCACACCCATAATCTCTTCTACACATAATATTAAAGATAAATGAGCTCTGACTTCCCCGGTAGATTTATTTAGTGATCTAAGAGGAAGAAGATATGCAGACACTTCAGGCTAAAAATACTGTAAATCACTGTCAATTAGGTAGACTTGAATACTGTTTTCTTTTAGATTCAGGAATTCCAGAATGCATATGATGAACTTTGCCAGAAAGAAGGTGTAACAGCCCTGCCTTATTTTTTAATCAAGTATGATGATGATTCTGTTTTTGTGAGCTTGCTTAAAAACTCAGATGACTTCTTCCCTGATCCACGAAAAAAGGTAATTTTTTAAAAAATATATAATATTCCACATTGCAATTATCATTTCCATCTTTGATTCTGCTGATTTGTGCTTGGCTTTAATGTTGCACATATTTCTAGAATGCTTGGCTTTTGTCGATGTGGTAGGAGAAAGATGAGAGCAAGCTCCTAGGCTGAGAAAGAACTTTGCAGAAGATACCATGGGACATTGGGAATCAGGCTGTTTAAATAAAGAAAGATGCAAACCTCAGATTCCTTGATCAGGGGATGGTGATGGCGACAACAGTAGCGGGGAGGCAGCTTTGCCCCTCGATGCTCCTGTGCTTTAGGCCTCCCCCACCTGCCCATACATAGCTCAGCTGAAAGTGAGTCATTCTAGGGAAAATGTCTTGAGGAAGCCAAGTCTGGCAAAGTGAGGTGGGAGAAAGTGTTGGATTTTCTTTCCCTTCTCTGCCCACCCATCTTGGCATGGAAAGTAGCCTCTTCATAGGTAAATGGGCAAATGTGTCTTTACAAAGCTCTCTTGTTTGGTCAGTAACCATTAGCCGGTCAGTCAAGCTTGTCTTTTGGGGTGATTCCTCATCAACCCACTGATAAACTCTGCATCCCAGAACAGGCTCGAGCTTCCTTCCTTAAGCAGATGTGATTCCTTTAATTCAGTGGTGTTTAACCTTAAACCTCAGACCTGTGGGTGAAATATGGCCCTCTGGAGATCCCCCTTCCCTTAGGTGACCCCTACTTTCCTGGCCTTACCCTTAGGTTGTTCCCTGATTTTTATAAGTTCCTGCCACCATTCTTAAAGGATAAAATGCCCCCTCTAAACCCCTAAGTTCTAAGCAGCAATGCCTCCACTAAGTGCTAGGCAGGAAGAGCTTCCAACCAGAATACATTGGGTGGTTTAGGGGTTTTGCCTTCAGGTCCCTCTGAGATCCCTGAAATTAAATTCAGCCCTCTGGATGAAAGAGGTTCTGCTCCTTTGCTTTAAGCTGAAATTCACTGGAATTCTCATTCTTAATTAGGCTCAATTTATTGTTTGCCTACTTGTGTACAAATCAGTTAACTCTGGGGAACCAATGCAGTGCTTTGAACGAGCAACTGCATATATTCAAGATATGTGTCTCTTGCATATCCCTGTGGCGCAAATTAGATTAACATACAATATATGTTACAGTGAGGGAAATTATTATACAATAAATGTTCCTGTGTGCAAGTGAAATTAACACACATTAAATGTAAATACAGTATGTAAATACTGTTCAATACATGCTAATTCTCTTAACTTGGTATTAATTGTAGGGGTGTGTGTTTGTTTGTGCTCTTTCCTTGCAGTTGACACTTGGTGTTTATGACCCATGTAATTTTGCCCAGTATCCTGGATGGCCGCTGAGAAATATGTTGGTCCTGGCAGCACATAAATGGTATGTATTAATTGAGTGATTTTCTGAACACTTTTCTGTGTGGCTGCAATCTGAAACACATTGTCTAGGAAGTGAGTCCCATTGAACTGAGCACTTATGCTTATCTCTGTATTACTGGGATCATACATGGGAATTGGAGTAACTGCTGTGGGTACCACCACTAAATGCTAAACACTGGAAAACTGCTTTGACATTGTTTTATATCTATTGGATGTTGCAAATTATCTTCGGCAGGGGTTGTCTAATTCATGTTACCCCAGGAATTCAGTGAGGCCTCAACGACCTCTTGTGGAAGCCCATTCCATACATACGTGGCAATGGGACTGGACTGTTGCACCAATTGTAATCTCACTGGACAAAGACGCTGGCACCACATGCAAAGAATTGCCCCTGTTATTCTGGCTGTGCCACTACTGACCACATTTGCATTCCTGACAGGGGCAGCCACCTCCGCTCCATGGAAGTTCTCTGCTTCAGGGACAGGACCATGCAGGGCGCAAGAGACATTTCACACAGTACCATTTTTGAAATACAGCTTCCACAGGTGACACAGAGTCCAGGTAACCCATTTAGAAAATCTGTGCCGAACCTTCTGAATACTCAGTTTTGCATATTGTTTGGGGGCATTTTTTCTTTCAATTAATACCAGTGAAAATGAACGTCGTTCAGTGCTGCTCTCGGTCCCTGTATGTTATGTACTCCTTATTGGTGAAGGCCTGTTCCAAGTCCATTGGAAGATGTTCCATTTCAAAAGTATGCCAATGTTGAGAGTCTCCCTTGTCCTTGCAAGCCACCCATCCTTCTGTTATTTCCATCATTCGGCATCAGTAATACAGTGCTTCATTACTGCTTAGCGCCTCTCACTAAGGGTTGTGCTAGGGAATGTTAAGGGTGCCTTGTTCCTATGGAATTGAGTGCTGAAGCTTATACCAGAGCGGAGTACAACTAGGAGTCGTCATGGACCATTTGCTTGACCTAGCAATTATACCCGCTTCTTGCACTGCACTGGCTGAAAAAGGACATTTCCCCATAACCTCCTGAACGTCTCAGTGATTTCTGAAAACCCTGATTACTGGCTTCAGGGAACATCCGTGGGCCCTCGTTCATCAGGTCCCCCCTTCTCAGTGCCGCAGAGGATCTTCACGGCATTCTAGAACTTTGAACATCTTCTTTGCACGCAAGATTACTGTAAGAGTTCTGATGTTCATGCTATTAAGTACTTGCATTTATAGGGAGTAGTATTCTCCCCTCCCCATTGTTTCCATACTTCAATGCAGTGCCTCTTCCCTGGTTATACAGATTGTCCAAAAGCTGTTGGATGGGAGAAAAATCAAAAGGGAAGCATGGGCCCTAGAATGGTCAATCTAAGTGAATGTATGGACCCCAAAAGGTATGTATCATTGTAAGCCAATCAAATCTGATTCCACTGGAGAAATGTGTCGTTATAGCTGCATGTGCGTAATCCTGTAAATCGGAAGCACAGCTGCTGTTTTTGTGTATTATTGGAATCTGTTATCTTTTCCCTGCAGTTATTGCAGCTGACAGCTGCTGAAATGTTTTAGAACAGCTTTCTTCAACCTCATGCTGCCTAAAGGTTTTGGACTAACCTGCATCAGTCCCAACCAGTGGTCAGGGTTGATGGGAGTTGTGCTTCACCTCATGTGAAAGATAGCATGTTTGGGAAGATTTAAAGAATTCATCCCTGCCTGTGAAGTAAAAGCTTGTAGGACGTGAAATACAACTTGGGAGTGTCAACTGTGTAGCTGTGAAGCGTTTTCATAGTATTGTGCATTGATTGGCTTATTTATTCTTGGCAACTTTAAAACTGTATTCCTTTCTTTCGAAAAGGACTGCTAGCTTCTATCACGCTGTGGGCTTGCCTTTTAATAGTGGCTTCTGCGGTGGATTAACAATCCTAGTTCTTGCATACTTACAAGATTTTGCATAGTCTTTTACAAAGAGCCTTTCTAGTTGTAGAAGCCACTGAACACACTTAAGCTCATTAGTCACTGAAGGAGGAGCTCAGAATTGTTCTGATGTGGAAAAGGCATAATAGCAAAGGAATGATGTGCATGCTGTGTCAGCGGTGTTCAAGCCTGCTAACACGACGAGCTGGTTCTGCCTGGCCTTTGAAGCATTTCTTGTAAAGAGGATTTTGGAGGCCGAGGGACATTGGAGGGGTGTGTTGGGTCCTGGCTGCAACTTGGGGCTTCATCTGGCTTCAGGACCAGCAAATGCCTCATCACGTGCGGCCCGCCTTGTGTGCAGCAGGAGCTAGGCAGCAGCAACTGTGCCTTCCCTCAACAGCCAGATGGGAATACCTTGCAAGCCAGAGGGCAGCGGTTGACAGCTTGCTAATTATGATGGCCAGAATGACAATTTGCATAGCACAGCAACCCCAGATTTTGTGTACTTGGTCTTACGCTGTGAAACGTTCTTTTTACAGCATTTCCTTTTCATGCTGTTGACAGCAAGTGGAAAAAAGTTACTGAAAGTCAGTTACTGAAAAGCTTTCATTCATAGAATTTAAAACTGGGGCATGTAAGACAGTGGTTGTGGGTTTTTTTTAGCTGGATGGCTTCTTATCTTACTATATTTTCACCGTCAGTTTTTCAAGCGAACCTTTGTAGTTGGGAAGAATACAATCCTTCATTGTAAACGAAGTATGCGTTCTTGGGAGCCTGAGATTTTGCAAACGAGCAAAGTATCAAAGGGACTTCCATCTTGCTTATCCCTGCCCTAAGCTGATTAGAGAAAAATCAAGTCTACTGTGTTGCCTCATTAGCTCATCTTTATATTGATTTATATTTGAATGGCAAATAAGGCTTAAACATAACCATCTATCACTGGCTGTTTCCCCAGTTATTCTATGATACTCTCAGGAATTCTGATTCCAGATTTTGTGTTCAAATTTAGATGAAAAACAAAGTTAAGTTTGAAATAAATGTGAGATATGAAAGAATGGCATTTTAGCATGGTGCTTAGCTGTTATTTTGCGTAGCATGCTCTGCATTCGGCTGAAAAACTTATAGTTGTTGGATAATAGTTCATTTCAAAGTTTGAATTTTAAAAACTCTTCATAATTTTCTCAGAGTAGCAATTTTCAGTTAGTCTGTTGTGTTTAATCAGGGTTACATTTCAGATATTGTACAGATGTCACTGCTAATTTCTCCATTTTATTTTTCTTTAATGTAGTGGTTTATAGTCATTGCAAATGTCCATTTTCTCCACAAGAAATGTTCCAGTCTCTGGCTAAAAGATCAAGAAATATTTTATTTAATTTTAATTTAAGCTTTTTTTATGCAAAACAACTTAAGAAACCCTCTGATAATGAAAATTGTAGAGCAGATTGGAAAGTCTAATTTAAAATTGTTTCAGTCAGCTCCATTTCAATAGGAAGTTGTATTCAGGTGACCATTTCAGATGTGAGCAAGTTTATAACTTTTATTTTAATGTTTTGAATTCTTTTTTTTGTTCTTAAGGAATATTTCAGTACCTGATTTGTCATTGTGAATGAATGTGTCTGATATTGAGACATAAAGCAATAGGAATTATTTTGTCATAACCTTTTTGTTACTTGGCTAGGATGATACTAGCAGTCAGTTTTCTCAATGACTAAGATGTACAAAAAAATGACACTTTGGAAAGTAACCCTTATAAATTATCTAATATGATGCTGCCTTTCCTACTTTCATGTGTATAAAGACTTATTGAAAATTGGCTGATCTAAACCATGACAGCTGAATTTATGCATTCAGGTTCATTAAAGTTAGCTTGGATGCTAACTTTAATTTTTGGCCTATCATTTCTTTCAAGAGGAAGCCTTGGCGCAGTGACTTAATGATGCTGGAACTGTCAGCCAGAAATGCTCGGCAGTCTAGCAGTTCAAGCCCAGCCTCCGCCAGACCGAGTGAGCTCCTGTCGTTTTCCCCTAGTTCCTAGCCAGCCTAGCAGTTTGAAAAGAGGTAATGCAGTAGATAAATAGGTGCCACCGCAATGGGAAGGTAGCAGTGCTTTGTGACATCATGTGGGCCACATGACCACGGGATCGTCTTCGGGCAGTGCTGGCTAATGGCCTTAGCCAGAAATTGAGATAATCACTGCCCCCTATTAGCCCCTGGCTAAGCAAAGTAAAATCCACAGGGACTCCTTTATCTTTACCATTTCTAGAAACGAAGATATGATAGTTGTCATTCCTGTAACTTAGCGTTGACCTTTGTGCATAACACTCAGTGTGGCATTTAAGCCTTTGTACTCTGGAATCTCACTTTTCCTGAGCAGATTAGCTTGGTCTGGAATACTAGGTATTTAGAAGACAGGTGCAAGGCTCGCATTTGAAGCTAAAGAGAAATGTAGACGACACTTTAGAAAAGAGTAATGAAGGATGCTAGTTGGGCATTCGGTATCTTTAATCAATCCATTCAATTTATCTCTTTGTTCCATAGGTTGGCTGAATCTTCAGTAGATCTTAATCTTAAATTGATGTGTTGGAGGTTAGTGCCTACGCTTGACCTGGAGAGAGTTGTATCTGCAAAGTGTCTTCTGCTAGGAGCTGGTACGCTGGGCTGTAGTGTAGCCAGAACCTTGATGGCAAGTACTGAAACTACTCCACAAACCCTAATATTCCATCTTGTATAGAAGAATCTGTGCAGCAAAAGAGATGAATGCAAATTTCCTGTAAATGTCATGGGAAAGGGGTTCAGATCCCTTGCTGGTCTTTCTGTCCACTGCCCATGCCTCCTTGTCTCTTCACTGCTTCCCCTTCTGCCAGCATCCATCCTGGAGGCAGGGAGCTTTGCTCACGCATGCAGGTAAAACATGCAGGAAACAGGCCAGATGATCAAACCTATCACAATGAAATGAACACATTAAAATTATGCATTAAGCATTATGTGTTATAATTGACGCATATTAGCTTCTTGTAGCGGAAAGAAAGGAAGAATGTATTCTTTAGAGAGCAATCTTATGCATGTTTGAACAGGAGAAATTCTTACAACTCCCAGCATTACCCAGCTTGATGTGGTGTTCTTCTGTCTAAACAAGCATATATTGCAGCCTGGGTTTTTTTTTTTTTTGTTTTGGTAATGTGCGTGAGTTGAGGATGGGCTGAGAAGGTAAAATATGAGTACTGGACTAACAAAACAAAGTGTATATTGGAATAGTTTGTGGGCCATCTTGCCCTTGATTTTGCTTTACTGGCATGTAGGTATGAGGTGCTAAGTAACATGCTTATTGAAGTGTGAGATGGGATCCCTGAAAAATCACCGAAGCTTGCTCTTGACCTCCCTTTTGGCCTACTTCACGCGTGGGCAGAGTGGTATGCTTACTAGTTTGCCATGGGAAGATGCCATGTCGCTCCAGCAACATTTGAAGGATTGCCTAATTCACCTGAGTATTAAAACACGAGTATAAACAATCCAAATAAGTGTTGATTGACACACAAAATAGATGTGACTTTGAATGTCTGTTTAGCAGCTGTATCTTTTTTCCCCATGTTTACACTAGGTGCAGCGGCCCAGTTTGCGTCAGAAGTGTAGCACAGTAGCTGTTAAGATCTAGACTGGAGCCTCTGTGCCTAATCTAGATTAAAAAATAAACACAAAATGTAGCTGCTCAGACACAGATTTCATCTGTCTGTTTTGGCCCATAGGTAGACCTCACATAATCCGCTGTCCTGCGTTATTCTGCCCTTCAAATACTACCAAGTAGTGTAGGATCCGGCCATGGGGATGCAGCAGGCCAATATATCAGCCTTCTCCTCCTTTAGAATCAAATAGGCTGTTCTGTTTGCACCGGAACTAAGGGAGGTTTGTGTCAATGCAGGGTGCTACTATTTGAATAAGGCAACCATCTAATTTCATACAGCATGTGGTTTTTTCCATTCATCCAGGGATGGGGAGTCAGGAAGATCACATTTGTGGACAACGCCAAGATCTCTTACTCCAACCCGGTGCGGCAGCCACTGTATGAGTTTGAAGACTGTCTTGGGGGTGGGAAGCCCAAAGCAGTTGCAGCCGCAGACAGGCTTCAAAAAATATTCCCAGGAGTGGTGAGTTAAGCACATTTAGATGCTATTTAATGATCAAAACCTCTCACTGGTTTGAATTATTGCCCAGATGCCTTCTATGCTGGCTCTTCAAAGGCAGCCTGAACCACAAGGAGATAATTCCTTCAGACTAATGATGGATGGACTGTGACAGCTAGATTTGTTTCATGGAAGGAGATCTGAAGTTAAATCTACTTGCAGCAATCAAAATAAAAATGAAGTGTGGAAGTAGTTTTATTTTAGGAATCACAAAATGAATTATAGTTAGCTACATTTAGCTCATTGGCAGGGGAAGGAAGAAAGGAAGAATAGGCTTAAATAGGTAGTTTGCAGGGATGGCTGTATCAATCTCATGCAGCAAAGACAACAAAGGCATCTAAAAGAATAACAAACATATGCAGGCAAAAACTTACATCAGAGCAAATTTTCTAGGGTTGAATCGACCAGCTGACTTACCTGAGGTTGTGGAAATTTCCTCTGCCTGGTTTTTGGAGATCCCTCATTTCCCCAGGTTACCCCATTCAACTGGGTCTCCTTACTGTGTGTAATATCTTCAGGTGGCTCATTTGGGTATTTCTGTTCCACATTTCTGAAACCAATCAAGGCAGCATACAAAAGATTGAAAAAAAACAAATCAGGCAAAATGTAATAAATAGTAAAGTGTCTTAAATAGCAAAGTATAGTTTAAATAGCAAAATGTCTCATCCTTTTTACTGAGCAAAGAGAAAGTGGGACAAGTTACAACTCCAAAGGGAATACAATCCAGAATTTGGGAACAACACAGGAAAAGCTGCTCTCCAAATGTTCCACAGGTGCTGCTCTGCAAACCTGAGTATCTTCAAAAGGGCTGATCTTAATTTTGGACCAGGTCCACATTCTTTTCACTAATTGCTACTTGGCAACATCCTTCAAAGAAGTCCCAAGTCCAATGCATTGCAGTAGTCTAACTGAGATACAAGCTAGGCATGGAGAACTGCTGGCAGGTCAGACTGACTTGGGAAAGGTTGCAGCTGGTGGCTAAATGTCATTGTACAAATGCCAGTTGTACCACAACTGTCCTCAGAAGAATATGAGGCAGCATGGGGTCAAGAGACACTCCCAAACTATAGTGTGGGAGCATGACCCCTTCCAGAAGCAGTGGAACCTGACTTCCTGAGTCAGGCTTTCTCCCAGCTGTACCGCTGTCTTGCCTGGACTTAATCCTGGCTTGCTTACCTTCATCTGGGCCTCAGACCCTCCCTCTTTGCATAGAAGATGTGGCATGAGTGATGGCCTCACATGCATGTCACACTTATGGTCCCTCATACCTAATTCTCCAAAACATGGTTGTGATCAGAAACATGCTGTGGGCTTGTATGCCTACTCCAGCTTCTCATGCTTATTCCTTTAAGCAAACCATAGTATGTCATTAATGTCTGAACCAGGCTAAGTCCCCCTCCACCCCCAAACCAGGTAGAAAAGGTTGTTCTATGCAATGTGATTCATCCGTAAGAGCAAATTATAGTTTGTTTAAGGAAATGAGAGAAGAAAACAAGAGCAGAGAGCCTGTAACCTCTTTCCATATCCCTGACTTTTATTCCATCTAATTGGTGGAAGGCAGCAATCCTCTAAATAAATCCTCTTTGTTGTTAAGAAATGTCAGCTATCTCTAATATTATCACCCTTTTAAAGGCAAGCATTGAACACTGAGAAAATCAGAACAAAACAATTTGAAATTATCTAAGTTTTGTTTATTTAGTCAGATGTAGGGCAGATGTTGGGCATACTGCCTGGCGACAGTGACACACGCGCTGGTGACTTCCCACCTTGAGTTCTGTAACGCGCTCTACGTGGGGCTACCCTTGAAGACAGTCCAGATACTTCAATTGGTTCAAAATAGAGCTGCCAGGCTGCTGACGGGGACTGGGCGTTATGTTCACATGACTCCAGTCCTCCGTCAGCTTCACTGGCTTCCCATTGAAGTCTGGGCCCAATTCAAGGTGTTGGTGATGACCTATAAAGCCCTAGACGGCTTGGGTCCTGGTTACCTGAAGGAGCGCTTACGTCCGTATACGCCCGCCCGCCCCCTGAGATCTGCGGGAGAGGCCCTTCTCCGGGAACCCTCCGTGAAGGAAATTAGGAGGGTAGGTACTCGGAGGAGGGCTTTCTCAGCGGTGGTGCCCAATCTATGGAATGCGCTTCCCAGAGAGGTCTGCCTGGTGCCGTCGTTATTTGTTTTTTGGCGCCAGGCGAAGACCTTTTTATTCAAACGTCATTTTAATTGCTAATATTATTTGCTTATTTTATTCTTTGGCCAGGGTGACTTATTTTATATTGTTAATTCGTTTTATATTTTTAGTGTATTATATTTTAATTGATGTTTTGTGAGCCGCCCCGAGGCTTCAGTGAATGGGATGGCATAGAAATTTTCTAAATAAAATAAAATAGAATAAATCTCCAGTATAGTGCCCACGGGCTTCTGGATGCCTCTCCCGGTGCTGGCCAGTCTCCTTGCCCCTCTTGGGTTATGGCTTTTCTTGGTCAAGTTCCTTTTCTTCTAGTTTTGCCAATTTGCCTTCTGGGAAATGAATGTTTTGTTAATAGGCAATATTCCTCGTTCCCAGTGTGGCAGCCATTTTATAAATGGCAGTGTTCCCCATACCCCATCTTTCCATCATGGCAGCTGTTTTTATGAGTGCCATGACACCCTCCAAAAATTTCCAGTCTGCCCACCAGTCCAGAAAAGATCAGGGACCCTTATTTACATGTTGTTACCAAAGTAACTTGCAGAAGAATGTTTACAGGCGGGGATTCCCTGCCCGTTCCCCATGGGACTTTTGGGTGGGAGATAAGGAGGAGAAGTCTGGGGTGGGGGAGAGGAAACTCGGTAAATGTCCAGTCCTGCGATTTCAGGGGCTGCAATGCAGAGGGTAGGATGTGGAGGATTCTTTTCAAGCAGCTAAAAGGCTGTTGAATCTGAAATAATTTTATGCCATCTGCTGGCTAATAAACTCCACTACACCATAAATGAGAATTTATATTAGTGGTATCTTAGATGTACTTTTATTTAAACCTTCTTTTCATGGTGACCAGTGTTGTGCTAATATGTATGCAGTGGAGATAAATGAAAGGGTGTGTCCTGGTATATGGGCAAACACACTTAATTTTGGAATACTTTTTAAATTTGCCATTTAGACTGTTCTGAACTATTTGGTACTTTGGCACTTGTACATATAATTCACACTTAAAAATGCTTATTTTGCTTAAGCTTTAAAAAAAAAAAAACTTTCAGGAGCACCGATTCCATAGATAGGTATTCTTTTATAATACTTTTATTCTTCTGATAGCAATAAAAGTGTCTTTAAGATATAATGGAAAGAGAAGTGTAGTTGGGTAGTTATATAAAGGAATGGTTAATTTGAAGAACTGTGTACAGTTTTCTATAGCAGCTGCTTTCTTCTGGGACTGGTTTAGCTGGATCCTGGTGAGGCCAAAAGACCTGTTTCAGAACTGTGAGGGGCTCAAAAAACAGAACCAGATACATGTATCTCAGTTATCTGCTCTTACTTTTCTCTCCTAAACAAATGTCTTCCTTTTTCTTGAAATGTTAGGAGCCTCTATCCTGGAAGGAAAAAAAGTTTTCTTTTTCTCAGTGCTTTATTAGCAGCAGTCTGAGGGAATGACATATTCTCCACCTCTCGATAACAGGATGAGCAGGACTAGGCTTGCTATGTGAAACTGCCCGGGATTTTGATTAGTAGTCCTCTGTTTGATTGCTGGGTGGGCAGAAATCCAAGCGTGTGTAGGGCAGGCTGACAGCAAAGCCACAGAAAGTTGGCAGTCCTTTCAGAAGGGCAGAGAAAGATACAGAAAACTATATGCCATGCCTGTCGATAGTCGTGCTATTAGCGTCATCCAAAAGGTTTCCATGATGGTGCTGGATTGCCAACGGAACAGCCAGGTTTTCTGATTTCTGGTAGCTGCAGCTCTCATGTTGTTCACTGTCAATGGCGATTTCTCTCCTGCCTGCTTTTTTAGAACGCTGAAGGCTTTAATATGAGCATCCCAATGCCCGGGCACCCAGTGAACTTTTCAGAAGTCACCCTGGAGCAAGCTCGCAAGGACGTGGCACAGCTGGAAGAACTGATTGATAGCCATGATGTCATCTTTTTGCTAATGGACACCCGGGAGAGCCGATGGCTTCCTGCTGTCATTGCAGCCAGCAAGCGAAAGGTATTGTGGATGCACCCCAGAGGCTGGCCTGTACGCAGGACACTGTGGCTCGTGAGGGCTGTTCGAAAGGATTTGGTGGATAGTTGCCGTTGTTGATCCAGCTTTTCAGCTGCAGAAGAAAACGTGTGTGACTCTCAGCTGACTCTTGCTTGGAATCTCCCCCCAGAAAGGGACTCGGTGGGGAACAGAGCAGAAAAGGGGGAAGCTGTTGCGGCTCAAAGGCGAGTGCAGCTGCATGCGCTGAGCGCAATCCCTCCCCTGCTTGCAGCCGCTGGCACTGCGGAGAAGCGGACCTGGGTGGGCCAGTGCCGAATTCCACCATCCCGCACGAGGGTTCTCACACCCGAGCCACCCAAAACAGAGACTCATTGTGTGTACTTAACATAGAACAAAGTGTGAATGCGCACATTATTTCAGGGTGTGTATCTGCTCACACTCACACAGTTTCAGCAATGCATATGTGAGGGTGCACAATAGAACTGCATTTCAGATTCCAGTCGCAACAGCAGAGGACCAGTAAACAGAATACTTGTTCTGTCTGTGTTGAGTCTTTCTCAGATCACTGCAAAAGAAGTAGTTCTGTGGCTCTGGAGGAGTATTTTTTTCTTTTTGTTCTTCTGAAAGAAATTGGTGTCACATCAAGATCTTCCTGTTCTTTTGGTGATAACAAAAAATTCCTTCCTCTGAAAAGTAGGCTCATTTTTGTTACTTTATATTTCCATTTGTTACAAGTACCACCAAACGCAGAACTCTTGCTGACAAGCATATTCAGTGTTTCTTTCTCTTAAATTAGGTTGTCTTGAAATCAGCTTCTCCTTTCATAGCCCAGTGCAACTGAATGCTAGTCCAAGCTTACCATAGGGTGAATCTTGTGACTTCTAGACACTGTTCAGAGGGCTATAGGAAAGACTGCAGTTCCAGCTTCGACCTCAGAATTGTGGTCCAACGTTGAAGCTGAAACTCCAGCTCCAAGGTACGCACCCTCTGCCCTTGCAGCTGCTGCAAGACCAACCTTAGAACCAGCCCTAGGGGTGGGGAAGGGGATAGGTTCTTCCAGAAGTCTGTGTGTCCCAGCAGTGCTGTCCCATCTGGTCTTCCTCAGGAGAAATCTCAAAGCACCTAGATGTCCGAAATTGACCATTTCAGGGCACAAGGAATACCCCCAGATAGCGTTAGGAGGATGTAGGATTGCATCCTAAGTACTTTGGGGTACATCCCTTGCCTCAGCACTCCTTCAGTACTGCACACCTGCAATTCTCCAAGTTCAGAGGGTCCTTGGCAGCCACATTGGATGACACCCTTCATGTATTTCAGCTATAGTCTCTTAGGAGCTAATGGACAGTGCATTTGTGGTAACATCTAAGATTCTTTGGAGACATACCTAAATAAAAGTAATCATTAAGCCCACGAGGAGTTACTGTTTGCAAAACGTTTTTTACAAATCCAAGCTGCCTCTTGCTGACTGTGTAAAACATCTGGATCTTCCATAAATGGGAATATATACCTGCTCACTGGCAAAAAGGAAAAGAAAACTTTCAAAAGTGCTGTTAATGATGTGTACAACTGGAGGCATGTTCTGCTATCTCCAAAAGTATAGTAGGGTGCCAGCCTGGAAGCTCAGTCAGAAGAAGTGAAAGAAAAGATTTTCAAAATGGAATATTACTAGCAGTTCAAAGTTGTGATTGGAATTTTAAATCTAGTTCTTTGTTGTGCATTCTTACTTACATGTTGTTGAAATCGTCTCTTTCTCGCTTTCATTTGTATTCTCAGCCTTTGTTATATGTTGAACCAAGGAAATATATTGAGTATATACTGTGGATTTTGCCTTTGGGTGGATGGAATTTAGTATCGAGTCTTGTTTAAGCGTGTCGTCTACCTTGGGAATTTACTTTTTGTATCCTCATCCTCCTCATCATCTAACAGATTAGGGAACCTGTCTCTAGTTTTCCCTGCCTTTTGACTTGAATGTAACTTTTTTGCTTTTTGATATTTTGTGCAGCTGGTTATTAATGCTGCTTTGGGATTTGATACATTTGTTGTGATGAGACATGGACTAAAGAAACCGAAGCATCAAGAAGTAGGTGATTCTCCCAGCAATAATCCCTCAGGCTCAGCTGATCTTTTGGGATCATCACTCTTCTCAAATATCCCTGGTTACAAACTCGGCTGCTATTTCTGCAATGACGTTGTGGCACCAGGAGATGTAAGTTACTTCTCTGTACACTGCAGCCCATTGGGTTGTTTTTATATTGAGTTTTTAATGATTTCCTACTGTAATCTCTCTTGAAATGATTTTGGTTGCTGTTGGGTTTTTAACAGAACAACACTTTGGCAGAATCTAAGTAATTTCTGTCCAATGATAGGAGACTTTCATTAGCAGGATGGGGAGGTGGACAATTCTCAGCTGTTCCCACTCTTCTCTGTTCAACCCTTTTCGACTTCCAGAAGGTTGGTGGATCTTCTCGAGAGGGTTGCAAGGGCAGAGGAGGGGGAGGAGGTCACAGAAAATTGTCCAGCAAACAAAAGTCTTCTATCAGTGGATTGTTTGGGTTCTGCCCTTTCAAAGAAATCTTATTTTCCTCTTGAGAATCAAATAGGCACCAGCATGTGGGTTAATCTGTTAACAATTTGAAGAAGCACATTTTATACAATGTGCAATGTCTTTAAAAAGGAAACCTTCAGAATGCAACATTGTGAAAGCTACATTTCTTTGTAGTCCACCAGAGATCGGACCTTGGATCAGCAATGCACAGTCAGCCGACCAGGATTAGCCACGATAGCAGGAGCACTTGCTGTTGAACTAATGGTATCCATTTTACAGCATCCAGAAGGGTGAGTCATAACTGTGGGGGAGGGATAGTGTTATTATGATTAAACTCCCTCTCTTTCTACCTTCCCTGTTCCGAACTCAAGATTTTTTTAAAGTTTTACTGAATTGCATGCCAAAGGGAAGAAACGGTTTTATTTAAATTAAGGGGCCCTGATTAAAAAAAAGAAACAACAGATATAGCTATATGAGTAATGTAGTAATTCTCAAATAGTTATTTCATTTGTTGCAGAAGAATTTTTCAGTGGGACAAAAAGGTATGAAATGTTTCCTACTCAAGGGAAAACAGCAGAATCAGGGAAGGAGTATGGTGGAAGACCGCCCACTTAAGACTGAATGGTCTGCCCACTTAAGACTAAAATTATCTGCCACTTGACCTATGCATCATTCGAGAGTTAAATAGTTCCCTCAGTTTTCCTATTTAATCTTGAAACAATAGCTACTCCACTGGTAAAATATCAAAAGTATTCTAGAGTTCTGTTGAAGTTGGAATTACGTATGCAGAGTTTCTTTTAAGATGTAAAATTCAAAGTTGCTGTTTTAGATACCTTTGCACCGCATCGTAGTAACTACAGTCTGATTTGAAATACATTTACCTTGTAAGTTCTCAGAAAAAGTAATTGAGAATAAACCCTCCTGGTGAATTATTTAATTAACAGCAAGCATTAATTATGGCATTAAGAACACAACCTGTTGTGTGTTTAGACAAAAAAGGCCTACAAGCCCCAGCATGCTGCAACATAACTGGCTGGGGCATGCTGGGAGTTTTAGACCTTTTTTCTGTCTAAAGCTGTATCAGCTTGCACCCTAAATTATTGTGTTCCTTTAAAAGATACGTTGATCCAGGTTTCGTTATAGTTTGAGTAGACTCTGAAATAATTGACGCTTAAGTTAGACATAATTAGGTTGCTCCATTGATTTCTATGCAGCTGTTACAATCATGGCTATATCTGGATTCAAACTATAACATGGAAGTTAATACAGACTTTTCTAGGGAAAATACTGTTTCTCTATGGGGAACAACTAATAAAGGTGGCTTTCAGTTTCCTTTTTCACAAATCCTCAAAGGTTGGCCTTTTCTAATTTTCATTCATTCTTTTCATTTAGGCAAAAGAGACATCCTAACTGGACCATTTTTAAGTTTGGGATTGAATTTAAAACTTTAGAAAAGAGAGTGACTGGTTTATTTTATTTTACTTTCTGTTAGTGGCTATGCTGTTGCTAGCAGCAGTGATGACAGAATGAATGAACCTCCCACCTCCCTTGGACTTGTGCCCCACCAGGTGAGTAAGCCAGAAATAAATATCATTGCATTGCAATGTTCTTATGTAAGAGCTCGTGTGGCAGGGTGTTGGACTGGGACACAACAGGTCAGGGTTCCAGTCTCCGCTGCCTCCAGCCATGAAGCTCGCAGGATGACTCTGGGCCGCTCGCTGACTCTCCGTCTGACCTATTTCTCAGGGTTGTTGCAAGGATAAAACAGCAAGGAAAAGAAGTACATAGGTCAACTTGGGCTCTGTGGAGGACAGGTGGGAGATCAGTGGAGCAAGTAAACAAATTTGGCACATAAAATTGAAATTTGACATAAGTTGAAATCCCGGGGCAAAGAATTTAAATGGGTTTAAGTTGTAGGAACACAGGGAGAGGGAAAATTCTGAAAAGTGATCTATAAATACAAGACTACTTATAATTTTAAAAATAGCAAGAATGTATAGTAGAATTAATACCTCGTCAGGGATAAGTTCTTTCCTTATAGTGATGGGGAGAAGCTAGGAGTGCTCTTGCTCTTTTTTTTTTAGAGAAGTGAATAGACAGAGATTAGCCAAGTTGCCTTTCCCCCTGTGAAAATATGCATTGCACAGGGTGATGAAAAATCCTGTTGGTTATTGCTGCAAGGCTTACTTGCACAATAATGCTTAGTTGCATTACGGAAAGTTGTCCTGTATGGTCAATATTTTTCCCCCTTCTCATTTGTATCAACAAATGGTTTCCTGCTGGCTAAGGAGATGTAATATGATCCCGTTCTATTTGCACATAGTATATCCATTTGGAATTAAGAGGGGAGAGCTGTCTGTAGTCCAGAAGGTTTTGTTTTTCTTCCTTGTCTGAATTAGGGGAAATATAGATGGTTCACCATGATCTAATTAACTCCATCACATGTGCGCCCTCCCTTCCTCCCTCCCTCCCTTCATAGCTGCATTTTCTTCTCATCGTTAGGAACCCCTTGCTGTGCTTCCGTCGTCTCACTATCTAAACGCTCAGCAAATTTCCACTTTGAATTGGGTAAAAAGCTAGAGTAATACAAGTACCAAAATAGCATCATACATAGTTTTTCTTTGTTTTGCTTCAGTGTAGAATTTCCTGATGTTTAAATTTCCGAGCCTTGTTCTTTGCACAGTTGCACTGCATTCACCGCATCCATCGCAGGGCAGCCCTGTATCGTGGAGTTGCTGCTCTGCTCTGCTAAGGGAGGCAGGAAAAGGACTCTGGTCCTTTTCCCTCCTGGTCAGTGCAGGCATAATGGGCCAATCTGTTCACAATGGTCAAGTGAACAAATTGGGACCCCCTTGACTCTTTGCCTGCTTGAGCTTATTTTTCTTCTCTTCTGTTGCATCCATGATGCATCGTTACAAATTTCTCAGTCCAAGTGTTAAGCATGTTACCAAGTTAGCTTTTAACCACAGTATGAGCTTGGTTGATGTCCAGATGACTCCGTCCCTTGCCTCTGGTCCCCCCTTCTGCCCCAGACACCCACTGTGTGATGCTTGCTTGGCTCTTACGCAGTTTTTATCTTTTCTGAACACGTGAAATGGATCTCCTAAGCTGTGCTTACTGGCATAAAGAACTTTGGGCTGGTATTTGGGTTCCTGTCCCATTTGCCTTTGGTCTTGCCCATTCAATAGTCCAACATATAACACTGTGTATGTTAATAGTTTTTCCAAATGTATATGATGAATGAGTTATCAAAGAACACCACAAATTCAGCTAGATTGATCTTTGGAGCCTCACACTTAATCTGTTACTATTGATATAAATCATGGATCCTCAAACTACGGCCCGCGGGACGGATCTGGCCCACCATGGCCATCTATCCGGCCCGTGCCGCCATTCGCCACTCACGCGCACGCTTGCTCTGTGGGCAGGGAGGCGGTGGCTCGCTCGATCGGAGATGGTCTCCAAGCAAGTAAGCCACTGCCTGCCTCCCGTACGTGCGCAGCGGGGAGGGGGGGAGGTGCTGGCTCGCTAGATCGGAGATGGTCTCCGAGTGAGCGAGCCACTGCCATGCGTGCCCGACGCCGCCTCGCGTGCGCCTGATGGCACCTTGCAGCCCGCGCCCCCAGGCACCCCCACCTCACCGGCCCGCACATGTGGCTTCCACCTTTCAGCTGCCCCCTATTGAAAAAGTTGGAGGACTCCTGATTTAAATATAGCCTTTAATTTTTGAATAACCTACCAGGTTGGTATAACAATGCTAAAATATTGGATGGATTTGCACATGACAACCCATACTCAAGGTTCTGTATGAGCTGAGTATAGATTGTCATTGTATCGTGGCTTGTTGTTGAAACATGGCATGTTGTGTTGTATGACCCCAGTACTCTAACATGTAACCCCAAACAACCCACAAAGGCAACCAGTGGTTTATTAAGTTATGAACTGTGGGTTGTCAGTGATTCTCAAGCCATGGTTTGCTAGCATGGCTGGGTTTACAGAACAACAATTCATTGACAACCAGCATTCAACCAATAATCAGTATTAAGGCTGGGTTATGTTAATTCAGTCAACTGTACTGGTGTATGCAATCATGGTAACTTACTGCAGCTTATTTAAGCCATAGTGGGTTCTGGCATGTGTGGGTAACTATTTTGAATATCCAACCCCTGGTAGAGGGTTGTCATATTTTCTATGCTATCCAGACTGAGGCAGCAGGGGCTGTTGAAGGGTGAAATAATGCTCTAACAAACCATGGGTTATTTGAGGATTGTTTAACCCTCCAAGATCCTCTGTTTGGATCCCATGACTGACCACTGGGTCGAGTAGGTGTGTTGGTGGCTGTGGGAAACATGGTTTATCGAGCTTAAATAAATCACAGTGGGCTGTGGTGATCACATGAGCCAGCTCACTGTCTTGGCTTCCAAAGAACCCAAATAGGGGTCTCATAAGGAGCACATGGACAAGCATACTGGGTAATAATATTGAACCCATCATATAATGGGCAATCATACTAGAAACAGAATACCCTTCATTTTGGGGGACATTAAACACTTCGAATCATTCCGTTCAGAACCTGATGTGTCATCCTGTACTCCTTTTCCAGTACTCCTCTAGTCCTGGAATAAATTCAGACGATTAGATAGATCTATAGATACTGTGTTCAGATTATAAATGGCAGAGCAGTACCTGGTGTAATGTGAGAATTAGCTGTATGTTCACTGCTGTGTAAATGTGGTCCTGCACAAATCTGTTTTATTGATGAAGATGTGGCTGAGTAAGAATGCACAAATGTCAGCTGCAGAGTGTGAGCTTGAGCCATATTCCTGTACTGGCCACCCAGAATGAAAAAGCTGAGCAAAGATAGGAGCCCCCATTTATTTATTTATGAATGAATGAATGAATGAATGAATGAAATTTATAGGCTGTCCATCACTGTCGTCTCTGGATGGCTTATAGCATTATTCTAAATCCTAAATAAAATAAATTAGCTATTCCATGAACTGAGCATAAAACCAACATATTTAAAATAAATAAGTCAAATACAATTAAAATTGGTTAATATTAAAATACTGATCAAATAAAAAGGTCATTTACTTCTCCACAGTGCCATATTTCCTCCTTTGTCTCTCCTCAAGGGCTTATTATAGCTGCCATTCTGGACATTGCGAACACCACAAGCACTTATATAATACCCAGAATGACTTAGCATCAAACAGCAGAGAAGTGCGCTTCTTTCCATTAGGGAAACACTGAACATCAAGAGCCTGCGAGAAGAGTCAGTCAGTGGCATTTCCTCCTTTCCGCTGTTGTGGCCATTCTGTAGAACAGCTTTTTCTGCTGCTGCTTTCTTGATTTCTTGTGGCAGTTGCGAAATCCAAGCACCAGGTGGCGCTGTGGCTCTGTCATACAGCATTGTCATACCTGGATAACCCGGATGCATAGAAAGGCTGTGCGGAAAGGCTTGCTGAAGCCTGGGTACTCAGGCCACCAAGAGAGCGCATGCTGGCTGCACTTGCCTCGAAAGGTGTTGCCTGCCAAACTGAGGCATTACAGTGTTATCAACCCGCTAATATTTCTCTACATTTCTTTGCATTACAGATTCGAGGCTTTTTATCAAGATTTGACAATGTCCTTCCTGTCAGCCTGGCTTTTGACAAGTGTACTGCCTGTTCTCCCAAAGTAAGTTTGATACTCTCCACCGCAATAAGGTATTTTGCTAATGCATTTAAAAAAAAAATCCTGTATTTTAGTTTTTGGAAGCAAGCTTGGTTCAGAGGAAGACACTTGCCTTTATTTGTTTTGAGAAATGAATTTTCACTCAGTGCAAAGTACTGTATTAATCTTAGGTAATGTTCCGGCTTAAGGTATTGATCTGGCAAATCAATTTGTCTGGTGCAATAATGAAGTACAAAATGATGACTTGCAGTAGAAACTTGCCAATAAGATCTTCCTCTTGTCTGCTTTTTGTTGAATAAAATAACTCTGCCGCAGTTATCAGTGTCACAGACAGGTTTTTAAGTATTTTTAAAAGAATGCTAGGTATGTCCTCCATGAAGGGTTGTGGATGCTCTGAAGGGTATCTCTTTCACAACGCCCTTGCAAGGAAGGTGTGATCTGTTACCACCACCTCACCTCCACCCCAGCTTAGATGGCTGCCCCTTCTCCCATTTCCATGCCACAGCTGATGAGGCACTGCTTTCCTTGCCGTGATGCTCTCCACTGGTCATGCTGGCTGCGCATTATGGGAGCATCGGCCCAACACATCTGGAACGGTGAGCAGCAGTGATATGACATGGTCTCCCCCTCCGCCACCCCTTTCCACTGACTGACAGCATTGATAGTTGAAGGACCCGTTGCTGATTTTTTGCTGAGCAGCTTCTGATGCCTAAGTAGTGGAGAATCACTGTAGGAGGTGACATTTCCCAATTGCAGTGGCCACAGCAGATGCTCCGGGTCAGGTGGGAAGAGCACATCCTGGAGAGCTGCCTTCCATGCTTGTCTTGCTCCAGTCCAGTGCTAGTTCTGAGTTTCTGTTGCTAGACTGACATGGGCAAGGCCATGTGCTGTGGGAACTCCTACATCAGTAAGGTCACACTTGAAGAACCTGTGCCATGCAGGTGTTTCCTTCCCAGCATCTTTCTGATTTGCCTAGCCTTGGAGGGTAGCACAAAATGTAGTTCAGTCCTGGTCTAAGACATTTTTGTGCCCGAAGTAGAACACGGAGACTCTCCCACACCCTGGTTGAGGTCATTCATTTCAAAACATCTTACTGCATTGCACAGATACCAGTCACTGCTTTTATCTCTCTCTCTCTTCTTGTCACAGTACTCTGTATTTGGTCATGTTACCCTGCTGCAGCCCTGAATGGCTTGTCAGCTGATCCATCTCATTTTTTTCTATTTACCACTGTGATATAATGGTATTCTGCATATAAAAATTATATTTCAGGATATAATGTTCTATTGCATGTTTTTTATTATTCTAATCAGTGTATTTATTATTGTATATAAATCCTACCAATATAGCATACAATGAAATAATAATACCACAATTAGTAATATGAACAAATGTTTAAGAATAAATGAAAATCCTTGGGATCCTTTCCTCAGGTCAGTTGGTAGTGGATATCCCTTGTGGGCAGGGAGTGGCAAGTCCAGTTGGACCAGATTCCAAGATTTTCTTCAGCTGCTTTGGAATGAATGCAGAACTCCTTTTTGTGTTGTTGTTTGCTGGGGGTTTATGACTCATGTTAAGTCTCTGCCATGTAACTACAATATGTGCATCTATAAGAGTAGGCTGTAGACTTGAACTTTCTCAGTGTGACAGCACTTCACCAAGCCCTTGAATTATACTGCAACTGGGGCCATTTAGACTGCCAGCCCTCACTTTTTCTGAAGTATGCTGCAAGAGAATCTCAGGCTAAGATAAGTCCCTGTTTCTTTGCATATTTTTTTTCCTCCAGACCTTTCTCTATCCATTTTTGGCTCATTGTACCAACCCTCTCACCCAACTTCCCCCTTTTGATTTCACTTCCCTCTGTTCCTGGGACATTCCTCTGCCTTTTGACCATGTCATGTGAATGAATTGGCAAGGTTGACCCCTAGTGGACTGGTGGCCCTGATTTTTTTTAGGCAGGGCCGGCCTGCAATTCCTCAAAGCAAAATGGTCCTTGCTTGCGGCTGTGATAAAGTAGCTTCTGTACTTTTTCTTGGTTCTTTGTGTGACTTTCCCCATCTCCATATGCCCATACCTCCTTTTCTCCTTTACTTCTCCTGCATCATCTCTTGCCCAGATAATTGAGATTCTGTGCAAAAAGAAAAAAAAGTCTGCATCCGCACATTCTGGATGGAATACATTGTGTAAACATGTACTAATTACTTCGTGTCTCATTGCTTGCCTTGTTAACTTTCAAGTTTGACATTCAGCACCAGCAGCTACTGTCACAGGACTTTTATTGCTCATGAAACAGCTTAGCAAATACAGAATTTGGTAGCAGTGAGCTATCCTGTGTGTATATATGCAGAGTGCAGATGGAGAAAAGCTTGCGCTCCCATTCCTAAGAAGGCTTTGAGACCTTCACAGTCCTACAGCATTTGGCCGGGGGGGGGGGGGGGGGGGACTGCAGTCCATGCTTAAGCAATCACCTTGACGGGATATGTCACCTTGAATGCTGAGTGAGGCTGACTCATAAGCTGGCTCCCAGATAAGTGCCATTAATTCAGTCTTGTCAGAGATTCATTGCAGGCATTTCTTTTTGATTTTTAGCAAGCACCACAGCATCTTCTTCCTATACCCGTTATGTATATTAGAGGGCAAGTGGACTGGGGTGGGGGCAGGGGCAGGAAAATATGGTGCCTTTGCTTCTATAAGCTCATCTGTTCTAATGGAATGCCAGTCAGTCTCATTAATATAACAGGTGTACTTTGTTAGGCATGTGAGAGCCTTTTGCAGCTTGACCCAGCAGTTATATGGTTTGTAACAAAGCCTGTCATGTCTGGAAGTTAATTAACTTCACCTGGTTGCTGCAAAGACAGAGAAGAAAAGAATAGGTTTATCTCCTTTTCTACCCCTGTAATCCCCACTCACCCTTTTTTGCTTTCCGGGTGTGAAGAGTTCCTTCCCTAGCAGGGAATGGGGGACCCAGGCTTGCAGACGAAGTTGAGCAGGGAGGGAGTCTGCAAATGCTGGCAGAATGGAGGTTGCATGACTGCTGACCATCAGGTGCAGCATCTGTAGGTGGCCCAGAAGGGGGATGCTGCTGTCACAGTGGTCATGTAGGGCTCCCTTCCCGGCAGGCTCCATGCACGCAGCCATCTTTGCTATCAGGTGCACCCAGCCAAGAGGTGGCAACATGTGCATCTGGGGCCAGGTCCGGAGTGTGGGTGGCAGGAAACGAGGCCACTCTAGTGTCCTAGCAGGGCTCGGGCAACAAGACACAAGGCAGTACGAGTCCACAGTCCAATAGCCAATCCAGGAACAAGTCCAAGTTGTAGTCACAAACAGGCCACGGTCAGAACCAGGAATATATTATGGCGTAAGACAAGGTGTAGCCCAACAAGCAAGCGGTCAGGAACTGGCAAGTTGACACAACGAGGAGCAGGTACCTTGGGACAGGATAACAAGACGGGGTCCCGGAGCAGCAATACATGGCAGGCAGGAAAGGCAAGACGAAGCAGGAACGGGCTCAGGAGCAGGCAGCAGCCCAGTCAGATGTAGGCTCAGGAACAGGCTACAGTGCACTGAAGGCCGGTGGTGCCAGGGCAGCTCCCAAAGAGAAGAGCCAGTTGTTATATAGCTCTTCCCCCGGGGCTGCCAGGCGGTGCTCATCGAGGCCTTGGCAGCCACGGCAGAGCCCTGAGACTCATCCTGCAACTGCCAGGGTGCCAGGCCAGCAGGTGGAGCCTGGAGCTGCCCAGGTCCTGTCAAGGTGGTGCAGGAAAGAGGTGCCGCTCGCAAGTGTGTGAGGGGCCTTCCCTGACAAGCCCCTCACGACCAGCCTCCCTTGGTGTGAGGTGCAGCTGCCAAACGTTGGCTGAACTTGATGCTGAGGAGGGCGCTCCTAGGTCAGCATGTGGGTCTTGAATCCTGGCAAGTGCCTCATGAATACTGGGCTGCTCACCAGGAACTCCAAATCAGCCTGGGGAGAAGAGCCCAGCCAATCTGATGGGCTCCCCACCTTCATGTGGATTCTGTACATATCCCTAGAAAGGAGGGGGCCCTTCGTGCATACTGTTTGTACCCTTTGTAGACGGGGTCCCCAACTTTTTTGAACCCATGACATTTTGGGGAATCTGAGAAACTGCTGTGGGCATCCCTGCAAAACCGTGCCCATGGTGGATGTATCTGGTCACACAGGGGTTGCTATGGGGGCTTGGCTAGTCAGAAGTGGGCTAAAGGGAGGGGGGGGGAGAGAAAGAACAAGGCTAGGGACTAGGACTGCTGAAGAGGCAGGGGCTAGGGCCCAAAATGGAAGGGAGCAAGAGAAAGGAAAGGGGCTGTGAGAAAGAAACTGTAAAGCTGGAGACGTGGGAGGGGGAAGCAAAAGTGAAAGGTCCGTGCGAGCAGCGGGCTGGGCAGGTCCGGAGAGAAATCTGCCTGCTGCCAACATCTGATCTGCAGGAGATGTGCTGAACAGGAAGGGGAACCTGGCACCCCACAGTTTTTCAAGGCTTTTATTCAAGATAACCTTTTGGCTGGGGCAGGGTGTGGGATAATTCATGGGTCTGTCAGAGGGGCCAGTGAGTGCCACATTGGGAGGCCCCTGGTGCTGAGCAGTGTGGCCCCTGGCTCTCATGCCACAGGACACAGTGGTGGCAACCAAGTTAGGTGGCCTTAAAGGGGTTTGAGCAGATGTGATGAGGAACAAAGACAGAGAACTTTCACCCTGCTTGTGGCGTCCTGCATGCACCTGGGCACAGGTGCTGGGCAAGGGTGGGCTTTGACCTGGTCTCTCTCAGCTATTCTCTGCTTAACCCATTCAGTCGCCATCACTTTCACCCCTGCTCTGCCGTGTGTGAATGGTCATCATGTTAAGTGAGCTCACAGAATCACAGCTCTGCTCTCATTTCAGTATATGTGGCACGCTCATACTTTGCTACAGAAAAGCTTTTCTGTAGGTGTAATGGGTTTCCCCTCATTTCTCTGCCTCTGCCCAAAGTGTGGAAGTAAAATAGTGAGTT